GTGTGTGTGTGTGTGTGTGTGTGTGTGTGTGTGTGTGTGTGTGTGTGCACACACACACACACACAAGCTTTTTCATTACTGATTGCATGAAGAGATGTAACTAACATTCATATCACTGATACCAGAATAGGCTCTCTGCTTATGAGATTAAAGCATAATGAATATACTGTATACTTAACATATATATATCTCCATAACATGACTTGAGAAGGACTGTTTCTCCTTTCACAGCTGAGATGGTCAGCAAAATCTATTTTGTACCAAAATCAATCAGTGAATATGTGTGGTGCGTTTGCGTAGAGTTCAACTTTTGATTAACTTTAAAGTGGCTAAAATCGATTATATTAGCAGCTAAAGAGACAGATATTTCTCTCACGAGTTGGGAGAGACCAAAACAGAGCTGTAAGACAGTTCATTTTGGACTTGCATTCATTAAGTTGCGGAACACGAGATTCATAATACTTCCGATAGAAGCACCCATGATCTGATCAAAATACGGCAATGACCTTCAGCTCAACAGTCAACAGAAAAAATTCGATGAAGGTCAAGACATTTACAACGCATCCTATCAAAATTAGATGGATATAGGGCTTTGAATTGTGACGCCAAAGGTCATTGAGTCAATGGAGCGCCGAAATAAAAGGAAATTGCCTTTTTTATTTTACAAGTTTTAAGTTTTTTTTTTCTTAAAATTGAACCGGTTAGTTACCGGTTAGGCTCAATTGGTGTCGAAAGCATAATTAGTCAAGTCCCATCATGCATTGTTTTCTGTAGACCACCAGCCAGCTAATAAAATTGAACAAGTCGGTGTACTTTTAAATCTCATTCAGTGTTTGTGCAGGGATTTAAGATGTGGTTAACATGACTAGTTCTGAGATATGTTATATGATATTTACATCAGTGATGGCATTTTTTAATCTTGTATTGGCTCTTGCTGTTTCAGGTATTATTCTCTATAGGCAATTGTCCATAACATGGACTTCTGACTGTTACTGTCAACGAATGTCATCCAATATGGTCCCCAAAAGCACACAAAGGAAAGTAAAAATATATTGAAATTCAACACATCAGTATACAGTAAAATATAACATAAGTTCAGTAGTGAATGTGTAAATTATCCTTTATTAACCACATATGTCTTTAATTTGTCAAGTGAACATTATCATGTCATAAATATGAGGAAGAGAATCAGCTGGATAGGAGCTGTGGCAAAGTGAGAGGGAAAGGGAAAGATATTGAAGAGGATTACCACTGAAGATGGGTAACAAAACTGTAAGAAATAACATGACTTGTGTAGTTTGAATTTCTTCATTTACAAATTCATATATTTAAATTACATAGCTCTGGATTAGACAAAAACTAGTCGATTTTTATTTCAGTGGCAGGAAGTGAGCTTTCAAAATAACTGTTATTTGTGTTGACATCCACATAGATAAACGGCGAGACTGTACGAGAACAAGAGATGGTTACATTACAAACATCAATGTCAGTACAGTACACTGTCAGGTAAAATAAAAATCAGAGGGTCAAGTATTCCTCAGCTGTGTTGTGCTCACCATACAGTTTGTATACAGTACACTTTCTATTTTCAAACCTGAAATCAATTGGATGCTTATCCTCTCCCCACAAAGCCCTCTGTGTTTGCTGACGGTGGGTAGATGGGCTTATCTGTGTGGTCCAGCCTCCACCCCTCACTGGGAGTTGTCTGGACCCTGCATTATCTCCTCCTTTCCTTCTTTCCGTGTCTCTCGATCCCTCCCATGTCTGTCACACAAATGCTCAGACGCACACAAACTCCTTTGTGAGTATACAGCCGCCCTCATTAGGCTTTAGGACAGAGGAGGTGCTGAAAGCAGAGTTGGGGTAAAGGAAGAAGCCTGCCAGGATGGAATAGTACAGAGGAGGGTAGATGGCGAAACTAGGACAGGAAATACTCACGGAAAAGACAGGCTACTAGATGGGGGGTGATACAAGAGAGGGAGGCCGAGAGAGACATGGAAAGATACAAGATAACATGTAAAGAGGAGCAGTAGTTGAGCCATTTCCTTAGATCAGGTTGGTATTTTGATTCTAAGACACTGGAAAATAATATAATTTATTTCAACACCTTAATTTATTTCAGCGATCAGGAACAACATGCCCAGACTGATTGTGGAAATTTTAGAACCAAGCACTTTGGCTTTATTTGTATCTACAGTATTGCATTTAATTCTGCATCTTCTCTATAAATCAACCAATCTGTCCTTTTGCTCAGATTTAGTATAGCTAGAAAAGAGAGAGCATATGTCTTTTTTAGGGCTAAATAGCAGGCGCGCACACACACACACACGCACACACACACACACTCCATCACTCCACATTGTAAATCTAGCCTGTAAACTAATCTCTGCCACAGACTGTAGACTAAAAGCCGGATGTAATCTGACACTGCATCTCTATAGCTTATTTTATGAACCCTCCTCAGTGTGATTATCAAGGATTGATTCATGGGGCAGAAGCAGAGTTGACTGAACCATGATGGACCACAAAAAAGCCTTGTCCACTTAATTGTCAGAGAGGGTTCTTATGTGGTTGCCTTAACCACACTGAAGGAAGCTCCTCACTGTTTTATTACTGCATCAAGTATCAATTATGCAGGGAAACTCAGTAGGTGTCTCTCCCCATGCAGCCTCTCCATTATCCTGGGTACGGTTTCATGATTCAGTAGCTGCATTGGATTTCAGAGCATTCATTTAGAAAAAGGCTTTATGGACTTTAAGCAAATTATGTTGCTGTGCTAGATGATGTTTGTCAATTAGCAGCTCTCTCTTATATTAAGAAGTACGTTAATACTTTCTTATTCCTGACATTCTGAATGACATTGAGAATAAACAGTACGTTTCTTATTCATCCGAAGATGAGAAAATCTAAATAATCTGTTGCATTCTTAATCTGTTCTGTTCTGCACTTGCATCATATTGTAAAACTTTAGATGTTTTGTGTTTTTAGAGCATTTCTGGCTCTGTAGGCATTTTGACAAGGTCGAAACAAGGAGCTGGCAAACTGCCACCACTTTAGTACACTTGCAATAATGTCACAGCCACTCTTGTGGGGCTGGACGATATGGCCAAAAACGTTATCATTATGTATTTTTTATATTGTTAAATATCACAATATATACTTCATAATAATAATAATGCTTAATTTACACTGTTAAGAGTATTCTCTTTAGGACAAAACCCTTCATAAAAACAAGAAGTTTAATCATGGTTTATAATTAATAATTATTTATAATCGGAATTATGTACAGTATATACGACTCTTCTTGCTGGCCATGTCACTGCTGCACGCTGAACATGTGCATCTGAGACTTTGCGGGAACTGGACTGAAATGAAGAAAGTAATGGAATATCTGTACAGTATAACTCTTAAAAGGAACATTAATAATAAATATTAGACACAGCGTCTAGTCTGCTAAGTCCAAAGAAGACAACTAAGACTTCCGGTGTTTTTTGTGTATACAGGAAACAAATTATTTGTGGCTTTTAAAACAGATCACTGTTAAAGCCTAACGCCGATATATATATTTGTTAGGAGGCTGTAGAATTTCATATTTAGTGAAATTATGTGAGGTGGGTCACTAGAAAATTAGGCTACATTTGACCATTTAGTCATTAGTGCTTCACTGTCTGCCAGTGTTCATATGCATTGTTTAAGTTTCCGTTGAGTTGTTTGTATGAATTAAAACTTTTGCTGTTATAAAGGTCCAGGTTCCAGTATATGTTTCGATCTTGTTCACCTCTTGTTGACCTTCTGTCTGTCTCCGCAGCTCTATATTGACTAAGTTCTGAATCATAATTGGTCGCTCAATGTGACTTTGAGACTCAGGGAGCTTCTTTACTCCTGATTGCTACGAGGACTTAAAGGTCAACTCCATCTGCATTCTTTCCGGGATTTTTCAAATAGAAATGCCCACTCAGCCATTTGCAAAAAACAATGACGTAGATTAACAAAGTAAGCTAACCTATAAGGTAGTGTTGCACGGTATACCGGTACTAGAAAAGTATCGCAGTACCCTGCTGTTAAAAATGGTACAACAGCCCATTTTATTAGTACCAATATTAAAAGAATGGCAGTGTTTTTAATAAGAGCCGTATTTATTCCCAATTTCCCACCAAAGCCTTGTCTTAAAGGGATCACAATATCTTTTGGTATTTGCTTACATTCACTACCATGGTCAGCTATTAAGAAAGTATCATTGTAGAACTGTCTTAGTCACCAAAGCTTAAACAGAGGACGTACTGTTTGTTAGTTGCTTTTCCTTTCCTCTTCTCTCTGATCAGTGATGTAGCTGTACATAAATAAACGTAACTTTAGCAAGCAGTGTTGGTGGCGATCAGACTGGGGCCATGCTCTTCCTTTCTCGCAGGACTGTCCACACTGATATTCTATTTCTGTCTGTATTTTCCTTTCTTGTGCATCCATCTCTCTTTCTCATTCTCTCTTTTCCACTTTCCTCTGCAGGTGTGTCATAAGTGTGTGTCTCTCTCTCTCTCCACAGGTGTCATTCTTCCTGTTCATTGTGTTTGTGGTTTACACCATGCTGCCGTTCTCCATGCGGGACGCCATCATCGCCAGTGTCCTGACCTCCGCCTCTCACACCATTGTGTTGAGTGTCTGCCTGTCCACCACAGCTGATCACGTGGAACCAGTAGTGTGGCAGGTAAGGCGATCAAACATAAGTGTGGGTTAATAGTAGGAGACACATTGATACGGAGAGACATGACAGAGACTATCCTCAAAATATGCAAACACCACTGTGTGCTTGAACTCAACATAATTAATGAATTCATTATTCAATATTATTTAGTGACTTGAATAATGTATAATTGGGTGTCGGAACAGAAATATTTACTTTCTTGCTGAGAGATTATTGCTCATGAATGTATGGCAAATATGTACTGTAGCTGGAGCCAGCAGCCGCTTAGCTTAGCATAAGAACTGATAACAGGGGGAAACGGCTAGTCTAGCTCAAACAATTTGCCATTTTCTGGGGGGGTTATGTACAATTATGTGCCAGAACCAGTACCTTCCTGAAGTTGGTAACCGGACATAGCCAAGAAACAGGAGTTGTTTCGTTGATTCACACATTTAGTGGACCTGTATTGTCATGTACTAGTAATTAACCTTTAAGAAAACAATACCATAGGTAAAGAATGCTTGAAGAACACTTTTGGAATTACTCAACCTGGGTTTAATTTTTCCAAGTTTTTGCTATACATTGCCATAACCGGTTGTCCTCAAAATCATATCTTAGTTCCCCTGTAGAGATTTATGTTCACAGGGAGCACTGCTTGCCAGTATTTTCCTTTCTTTTTTTATTATCCAGATTGAATCTTAATTGGTTTGTTTTTCCTTTCCAGACATTTAATATTTTTGGTCATTTTAATAATAATCATACATTCTGTATTTTTAGCAAACAAACAAATGTGACCTTTAAACTAAAACTGATTTAGCATACCAGTTGAGCGATGTGTTTTTTATACTTCATGAAAAGGTCACCCTTTCTCCAGCAGTATTGCTGTTTCAAGCGCAAACGTTCAGGCAGTTGGCACATGCTGGGAAAGACAAAAATAATATCAGAAAACCAATTATCTGGCTAATGCAGCCTTCAATTAATTTGAACTCATTCAAACATGATTGCAGAAGTCAATGATTGTCAATACACCTACGGCTCATTCCGACTAATGCATAAAGATAACATTAGTTTGACAACCATCTAATAAACGCTACACCTCACTGATAATCATAGATTTCAGTCCAGGATGCAATTCACTTTTCAGAGCCACAAAGGACATTTCTAGTCTACAAAGAGGCTTAGTTAATATAGTTATTATTATTATTATAATACCATGTTCACATCTCAGCCACCTCCCACATGTCAATTGCTCTGCTCTACGTGTATTGCTGTTTGTCAGCCCTGTTGCTCAGTCACTGTTCAATTGTTTCTACACAATAAATCATTTATCAGAAATGATTATTCATCTTAATGGTACAATTTTCTCTCGTATAATTCTACTGCCATTCTGAGTTTTTTTTGCAGGCACCACTAAATGATTGATACTGTGTTCAGCAGTCCAGCTTTAGGGAAAAAATGCTGTTTGGGTATTTGTTTTGAATGCTGTTTCTTAAAAAATAAACCAAAGGACCATTTGTAGTCTAGTATTCAAAAACCATACCACCTTTCAGATAACTGGAAAACATCTTGTTTGCTCCATACTTAATATAATGCGAATAATGACTGAATATAGTGTACTTGTGCAAATAGAGCTCTATCTTAGTACTCAATGATGATTCCTGTGCCTGTATCTTCATGTTTCTCTGTATTCCCTACTTTCAAACCTTCACAAACATTCTCTACTGCTTCTGTGAACTCTGCCGGGATAGCCTGGTATTTGGTCTACTTTTCTTTCATCTGTAACTGTAGCATTGGCATACTGGCATCTGGGCAGCCTGGGGCTGTGTGCTGCATGGTCACTATCTGCCAGCTCCTCTTGTGCACCAGGCCAGTTAGCCTGTCAGCATAAATCCAGTGGAAGATCTGCCTTTAAGAGTCCTTTTTAAGAGAATTTCCCTTGTAGAAATATTGAATAGTATCAGAATCAGTGTAAAAAGTATGTTGGATATAAATTACTCTCCAGTTGAATTCTGTAGGAATTAATTAATTATGCTATGTCTATCATTAAAATATGTCTTAGCAGAACATCATTTTTGCAGAAATAGGCCAAAAAAGAAACATCGAAAGGGTTGTTGTAGAGTTGTGCTTAATCATGATATGTAGCATACTGTAATGTTTGAAGTGGGAAAGACTTTGAATAAATGGCAGGCTGAGAAGAGGAAAAAAGAAAACGCTTTTAAATCGGCTATGGATCGAAGTAAAGGGTGTGATACCTTTTGATTCCACCTGCTATTGTGTGCTAATGGTAGTGCTAAAGTGCTGGAAGGGCTACTTTCTTCTAGCTGCGAGAGATCACTGTGACAGACATATTAAGAAGGCAGTCCTAGTATGTTTTTATGGTCTGTGTGTGGCAAGTTCCAAAGATTGTTTTTGGAAGTTGACAGCTTGCTGCTTAATCGGCAGTCGAGATGGCATGTTGGGCAAGATGTGACATTGCCAAGGAACAAAATGCCCACTAGTAAACATGGACTCCGCCAAATCCTGGCTGCTCTACGTTATCCCCATTTTATTTGTTGTCGGTGACAGTCATGTTGTAGTTTTTTGAACATCCTCAGGGCCAAGTCTGTATTTGTGGTTATGATGATGACAGGATGAAATAGGCATGATGTATTATGGTCATACAGTATGTGTGTAAGGCAACCGGGCACAGAGTTTCAAAGATGACTTTCATATGAAGATGAAGATTGTCCCAAGCATGTCCCGAAAAATGGGACCATACAGTTGTAAATGATGCCCTTCATAGACATTCCAGATGGCTGCAACCTGCACACACATTTACTAAAAGAGAAGTCGGAGCATCAAAGTTAATGAAAATAATGATTGAAAATAATACGGAAAACAATAAACCCAATAAACTAAACAATTGTAGAGAGAGCTGGGAGGTCTCATGCGTTGTCCCTGCAATCCTGCCTGTAACTACATTGTTTTTATTGTGGGTTTAAAAACAAGCCACTCACTCACAAAGCTTTCATTTTCATTTTCTCCAGTTTTCAGTATCTATGTTGGTATTGTAATTAAAATAGTAAACATTTCAGACAGATGTAGCAACATATATGGTTTTATTTAGCTCCAGGCAGTTTGGCTTGTAACTGTAACTAACTAGGATTATTTATCAGTTGCTTGTAATCTACCTCCTGTAATGTATCTTTGTAAGCCTCTCTTGCCCATCCTAACTTACACTGATACATGTCTGTGGTAATATTTGTAATAATATTAAACCAAATGCATACTAGACTGTATGTTTCATCCCAGCGTAATGTGAATAAGCGTATCATACAATATGTACCTTACATCTGCATTAATATACTACTATGAGAATATTTTACATAAATTCAAGATAATTTTTAAGTAATTCAGGCCCTTCAAAGGCATTAACAAATTAAGTACTCAAGATGTGTAGTGTAATATCAACACTATTAACAAAGAACTCCCACGCTTAGAGATGAAAAAAGCCCCCTTGAGGAAATGTAACAAAACATAAATGGTCATTATTAAATGGTCTTTCTATATCTTCAGCTGTGAAAGGCTGATATCTCCCTTTTACTCTGAAACATGCGACACAGTGATACTTCATTGCAGTAAGTGATCCAAACTAACTGCTGCTGTACAAAGACTTCTAAGCAATCTACTAATCATTTTATGTCGCCTGATTTGATCCGTTCCTTGAGATTAGACCTTGAATTTCCATTCAGTTGTAGGCAAAAAGATCCTAAGCCATTTTATATTTGTTGGGTATCATTATGAATACTTGTAATTTTCAACATGTACAGTAAAGCACAGCATGTACATTTGTGCGTCGTTGCATGTGTACAGTAGTTTGACAATGAATACAGTGAGATAATGGGTCAGGAACTGTTGCTCTACTGTTTCTGCTGTACTAGCGATCCCTGATTTATTGCTGTGGTTGTATCAGGTCACTGGGTGATGTCACAAAAAGATTCAATTTGATGAAGTAGCTTTAGTTGTCATTTATTTAATTTGCCGGGTTAGCCATTTTTATTTTATCCATTAACAGCTTCCCAGTTTTTCCAGAAAATTAACTACATTGTTATACGTCTCAATATTACATTTTAATATCATACTGTCATAGAGGGTTTTATCCATATTGCCAACTCCTGTGTACAGTATGTGTTTCTGTCTGTGTGTGCTTACTGTGCATTTGTTTGTGTCAGACAGAGAGAGTGCCTGCATGCGCTTTCCTCCTCTGTGTCTCTCTGGCAATTTGCCAGTGTCTGTCCAACCCTTTGTGGCAGGACAGGCTCAGACCGACATGTTCCTTTTAAGATAAGAGCAGTGAGGTTGGGTGACAGGATGCTCGAAGGCTTATGTGTCAGAGGGTAACTATACTGGACAGGCATGGGCCGCTCCAGTTTTCAATGTATCATTTGCCGAGGCGAAGCTAATAGATATGTAGCACTACAGCATGCTGTTCAATCAGATGTCAAATTGGCTAAAATAGCCAATTTGCCTTTATTACACTGAATGTGACTGAATAATTACCTCTGGCTGGCCACTGAATGGAAGATTTTTTCTGACGCTATAATTTGTTTTGAGAGTAAATTGCTTTTGCCGGTAGCAATATCAATTGAAACGACTATGCTAAGAATGTGCTGTTGATTTTTGCTCAGTCGACTTCTTGTTTGTTTTGGTCTTCGTCAAGCTGCCATCAAATTACTTATTTTGTCTGACCCAAAACTCAGAAACCCACGGGTAAATCCTTCCATTTGAGTTGCAGACCTACTATTTTGACTGCACTCCCACTTGAATTGTGAATAACAAAATGTCTCTCTTAATGCATTTTCCATTAGTTGCTCACAGAGTTGGGGATGTTAAGGTCGTTGGTTCATATGCTGTAATCTGCTGGGAAGTACTTGGTGAAGAAGATTAAAGAAAAAAGGTTGAGAAATTCTGGCCTATCCCTGAAAAATCTGTTGTTTGGAGGCACTAGCATCTTGAAAACTGTCTTAAATACTTCAAGTTAGCCT